TACTTCTGCTCCCCACTCTGTCTCTGGTGAAGCCTCTCACCCTCCGCATCTCTGGCCTATACCCCAGTTCTATATGAATAAATAAATAAATCTTTTAAAAAAAGCCAAACTTCAAAGAGTTGACTTCTCTCTTTTTATTTCTCATTTATTCCTAAACCTTTTGTTCTGGGGCCCTTGCTCTACTGAATTGATCCAAAATCACCAATGACTTCAGTGTTACAACTAGATGCAGCAGTTTCCATCTTGTCTACCTCACAGCTGTGTCCTCTGCCTGGAACTCTTTCCTTTATAGGCCTGGTTAATTCCTACTGCTTTCATAGAAAGCTATTTCCAGTCATTCTTTCAAAGCTCCCCACTACTAAGTTCCAAAGTTTCACAGCACCCGCTACTTTTTTTTTTTTTAAGATTTATTTATTTATGTTTATAGAAGTGGGATACAGGCCAGAGGTATGGGAGGTGAGAAGATTCACCAGAGACAGAGTGGGGAGCAGAACAGGCAGATCTACTGAAATACACTGCTGAGGGGAGAAGCAGGTGGGCCAGGAGAGGTCTGCCACGCCATGTGGGTCAACTCCCTGGTGGAGGATCAAACTCGTGCTGCAGGGGCTTCAGAAAGCTTCATAATGTGGTACTTTAACCCGTGGCACAACCAGGGGGAGCCTGAACCCTCTACTTTTCCTGGGTGATTCTAATAAGAAATGTGGGTAGCTAATGTTATAGTTATTGGTTCAACTTCAGTCTAGGCTACATGGTTTGTTGGTGCTGGGATTGTATTAAGTTTCCTTGTATTTCTTGTGCCTACCACAGTGCTTGTGGATGTAATAGGTATTGACTTTATGCCAAATTGTGTTGTAAGCAAAAGTGCCTAACCCCCACACCCAGGTTTCATGACCAAACCCCTATGGGTCATGCACCAGAGTCCTTTTTATTACACTATGAGTCCCCCTAATCTGTGTTCTTCCTTCTTTCCAGAGAGCTGTGATCCATATCATACCCCTATAACCCCAAAATCAATTTTCACAGATATGTAAATGAGCATTTATTTCTTGCTTTCATTAAGGTTATCAATATGGATTATGGAATGGAAGACAAGAATCCAATTGATCATGTTCGCTTCTATAGTAAGAGTGACCCCAGCAAAGCCACCATGATTACAAAAGATGAGGTAACTATTTAAATAAAACAAATATCCCACAGTGACATTTGGTAAATCTCTAGAGTACATCTGCATGCAGTTCACATTGCAAATTCAATGTATATAGTAAAAGGAAAAGCTTTTTTGTTGTTGTTGTAATAATGTAATAGTTTATTTTTATCATTTTGTGCATTTTTTCATCTCAGTTGTAACCTCTGTGGGCTTCCCATCACCAAATCACCCGTGTGCCATCACCATATTCCAGTGCATTTTCCTCCCCCCACTGTTTTTTTTTTTTTTTTTTTAAGATTTATTTATTTGTGCATACAGAACTGGGGTACAGGCCAGAGGTACAGGGGCGGTGAGAGGTTTCACCAGAGACAGAGCGGAGAGCAGAACAGGCAGATCTACGAAGTGCACTGCTGAGGGGAGCCGGGTCAGGAGAGGTCTGCCACGCCATGTGGTCACCTCCGGGGCAGGCGGGGATCGAACTCATGCGGAAGTGGCCCTAGCCTCTCAATGCTGTGCTTTAACCTGCTGCGCCACCAGGGAGGGCCTCCCCCCACTGTTTTTGATCCCAATCCCCACTCCACCCCCACAAAATGTCTCTGTATATAGCTGTTCATTATTATTATTATTATTTTCTCACCTGGTCCATTTTACTTCTGCTATGAGTGAAACCATCGGTATTTTTCCTTTTCTTTCTGGCTTATTTCACTAAGCATGAGCTTTTCCAGCTCCATCTATGTTGCTGCAAAAGGCATGTGTTTATTTTTTTTTTGGTTGGTGAGTAATATTAAATTGTGTGTAAGTACCACATCTGAAAAAGCTTGTCTTTATAAAATTAAAGTGTGATAAAAGTGTACTTGATTTTGTATAGACTAACTCATTGGATTTTGTCTTTTTTTAAGATTTATTTTATGCATTCAAGAGTAAAGGTATAAGGTAGAGGTACAGCAGGGGAGGGGTGTGAGGATTCATCAGAGACAGAGTGGGGAGCAGAACAGGCAGATCTACTGAAATACACTGCTGAGGGTAACAGCGGGTGAGACAGGAGAGGTCTGCTGTGCCATGTGGGTCACCTCCCTAGCCAGGGATCCAAGTCATGCTGAAGCGTCAGTGGAGAGCTTCATAGTGCTGAGACTTAACCCTTTGTACCACCAGGGAGGCCCCATCTTAAAGGTTTTTTTGCTTGTTTAACATAGATGAAAATGACACTTTTGGTTTAGAGACTTGGGTATGAATACAGACCTTTGGCCTGTTACTAACTGGCATAAAGTTCTGGGACATTTTGCAATATGATTATCATCTTGAATTCTTCCTTTCAGATTTTATTTGGGACAAAATAGCAAAACATCATGGTGCTTTTAATAGCACATCAAGAATGGAGCTTAGGAGCCTGGAAGGTAGCTGATTTCTCTTGTGTGAATTCAAGGTGACAGTGAAATTTTTCTTTTTTAAAAAGGTTTCACAACTTTTGCCAAAGAGATTTGCAGAGCAGTTAATTCGAGTTTATTGTAAGAAGACAGATGAAAAGAGTTTGTCTGCAGCACAACAACAGTTTCTTAATTGGTGTAAAAACGTAAGTGTCACCAAGTCGCAGGTGGGTGGGCTATTAGTCACAAACTTTGCACAATTCTTAATTTCAAAGTAAAAACCAAAATTCTTTCAGAAACGTTCTCATTTAAATTATAATGGTTTGGTTATGTTTTTTAAATTAATGTTTACACCTTAGACTTTCCTTTTGAAAATGTCTCAACTTTTTAAAATGTCTCAACTCTGTGAACCAATGATTTCTTCCCACAGAATGTTATTGGTGCTTTAATGTCATGTCAAGAAAAAGTTTAGGAGCCTGAAAGGTAGCTGATTTCTCATGTCCTAGTAATAAATGTTTAATGTGCTGATCATGTAAGTAGGACTTTATAATAAATAGCCTCACCGCTTGTCTCATCCAGTCCTCCCACTGACACTACGAGCAACGTTCCAGTGTTCTCATCTTTCAGAGGTTACCAAAGCTGAGTAGTTAACTTGTTTAAGGCCAGCTGAATTGATAATACATTTTCTAACTTAATGTTTGAAACTCAGCAATCTCAAAGCCTGTAAACTATTTAAATTCGCTAGAATAAGCTAACAAAGGAGAAGAAGAACTCAACTGTAGTTGCCAATCCTATAGAAAGTAGTGTTATAATTACCCCTTATTGACCTACATATATCAATAAGTATCTGGCAAAGAGATAATGACCGGTAAAGACCTGACTGAATGAATATAATTGATGGACAGGTAAGAAACAGCATTTGACTCCCTCGTCTGGTGCTCTCTTTACACTAGAGCTGCCGTTCTGCCTCTGTGTCGGGTGCTGAAGAGAACAAAAAGAAAAAATTAGACATGAAAGAGTTGGCTGGCATATGGGCACTTTATCATATGCAGTGAGTCCTGGTAGGATTCAGAGAGTTCAGAAAACTCAGAAAGCCTAGGAGCGGGGGAGGACTCTGCTGGGCCTGACAGGTTAGATTGTATTTGAATAAATAACAGAGAGGCAGGTGGAAATATTTGGCCATGAGCAACACAGAGGCATGGGATTGGAACAAGCCTAGTACATTTAGGGGATTATGAGGAGGTCACTCTGTTATTGACTAGTGAGAGGTTAAACTGAAGAGAGACTAGATTATAAAGAACTTTGGAAAATTGGCTAATGAAGATTTTCTTAAATCTAGTAGGAGAGAATCCTTAAGAATATTCAGGTTACTGTGCTACTGCAATTATTCTGTATTTGTCATCTCCAACTGGAGTGAGACCCACGGGAATAAGGATGTAAATCTCAGGAAATGTAGCACCCAAGGAAACAAAACCTCTGACGAAGAAAGACAACTAGAAGGAGATAGGTTGTACATTGGAGAGATTAGAAGCAGAGATAAGAGGTTATTAAGGTTTAGCTGCTTTAAATCTAGGTACATTCACTCAGTGAATGGGTATTTTTGCCAGGCCTTGTGTTAGATACCAGGGTTACTAAGACATATGGATCCTAAGACATATTCACTTGGATCTCATGCTGGTTGGGGTTGGCAAACATAGGTATAAATAGTTACAGGGACACAGTCAGTGCCTTGGACGGAGGAGGGTACAGAGTCTTAAAGGCACAAAAGGAAAGATGATTTTAATCTGACTTGTTTGGCTGGGAAAGGCCTATTTTAAGAAGGACTTAGAAGCTGAAGGATGAGCTGGATGAGAAAAATTACCAGGGTAAAGGGGGCCAGGGAGGCTGGGAGATGAGAGAGAAAATGGTATATTTAGGGGTTGGGTCTGGGGCATTTTGCACAATTTTGTAAGCAAAGAACAGAGGAGAACCACTGATATTTTTTAAGCAGGAGAGTTACAACTTTGTATTTTTTTTTAAAAGATTTATTTATCTGTGCATACAGAACTGGGGTACAGATCAGAGGCTCGGGGGCGGCGAGAGGCTTCACCAGAGACAGAGTGGGGAACAGAACAGGCAGATCTACAAGTACACTGCTGAGGGAAACAGCGGGCGGGTCAGGAGAGGTCTGCCACGCCATGCGGTCACCTCCGGGGCAGGCGGGAATCGAACTCATGCGGAAGTGGCTTTAGCTTCTTAGTGCTGTGCTTTAACCCGCTGCGCCACCAGGGAGGGCCTACAACTTTGTATTTTATAAAATCCACTAAAGTAGAAATTAGAGTGGGTAGGAGTAAGAAAGACTGGTTAGAAACAGAGATGAATTTGAATACAAATAAAGGTTGACTTTGAGACAGTTTTCTCAGGTATGAGTATTATGGCAGCTGAATGGCTGGGTTTTTTTTGTTTGTTTTTTTTTTAAGATTTATTTATGCATACAAGAACTGGGGGGTAGGCCAGAGGTATGGAGGTGGGGGGAAGTGAGAGGGTTCACCAGAGACAATAGGGAGAAGAACAAGCAGATTGACTGAAATACACTGCTGAGGGGAGCAGCAGGCAGGTTAGGAGAGGTCTGCTGAGCCAGGTGGATCAGCTCCCTGGCCCCCCCATGTCACTGAACAAAAGAAAGTTAATACAATAGAAGAGAGAGTTTCAGCAGAGCCAAATGAGCAAAGGGGACATTCTTTCTTTAAAACAAGGGATCTATATGCTTGAGATTTTCATCCAAAATTAGAAAAACTGGCTTTTTTGTTTCTAGTTTTTTTTTCCCTCCTTAATAGGATAACAACGTTGGACCCCCATCTTTCACACCTCTAAAACTGAACTTCAATCACAGAGATTCACCTAACAGTCCAGCTTGCTATCGAGTACCACCCAGAGCCAAGGTCCAGCTTTTCCGAACCAACAAGATGTGAATGTCTGCAATCAATTCATTAATTTTATTAATCCAAAACAGTTTATTAATTTAGGGAATTTGATCACAAAGCTTGCTCTGCAAATTTTTTGAAAACTTTTATATTTTGAATGTATACATGTGCTAAAGCGAAGACATTTTTATTCAGAGATACATTGGGCAAATCTTGCTGTATGCATGCTGTGAAAAGCATTATCTTGCCTGTTTTTAATACCTTTTAAGGCCTCTCCTTTAGTCACCTATTTTCTTAGAATGACTGTTCCTTTTAGCCCTATGACGTATGATTGTTTTTTATTATGTGCTTTTGTTTTTGTTTTTGTTTTTGTTTTTAATGAGACAAATGTGCACAATGCAATTTGACATTGGGATTGTCGTGAACAACCCTGGTTAAAAAGAAACCATGAAATCCTAGCCCTGAGAAGGTGCCCATCTCCCCAAATTTGAGGATAGCTCTCTGTAAGTGATCTAAACATGAAAGACACCATTTCCTCAACCCTTTTAACCCCTTGTAAGCTGCTTGATAGTAGTTGATAGGTGAGGGCCAGGGGTGGGGTGGGTTCGAGCTCCTGAATACCTACTGCCCAAGTCCCAAGGGTTTTACCACTGGTCAGTCTGGAGAAGGCTCCCTCCTGACTAGCTCTGTCATTTCCTTGAGCTGGTGAGAGGTCTTCACAGGAATCATCCTCAGGGCTACTCAGCATTAAGGGTTCGTTTTTTGCTAAGTTGTTGGATTTTATGAGTTTCAGAGCAAAAACTGATCTGTGTGTGCTGAGATGAATGATTACCCCTAGATTCTAGGATCCTCTGTGGAACTTGATGTTCCCAGCACTTATTGCTTGTCCCCAGCTGTGGGATAGCAGTGGTTGAACAATATTCCTGCGCTGAGAGCGCCCCTACACACACACACACACACACACACACACACACACACACACACACACACACACACACACACACACACACACATCCTCATTCTCAGTTCTACAGAAGTTCACTGAGAACAAAGTTAGTGCCAAAGCCATGGTGGGTCAGAAGTTACAAGGCAGTGGGAAGTGTTAGTGACATGTCCTTACACTCCCTTACAGGACCCTACTTGATTGACCAGGAGTAGGGACCCTCCCTGGCTTGGTCAAAAGCAGGAAGGGAGGAGCTGAGACCCGGCAGGAGACTGACCTTGGAGTCTTAGAATACTGCCACCTACCATTATGTAACCAGCTTCTGTTCTTTTGGCACTGGGGTGAAAACTGTGTGCCACTTGGGATGTCTGCCGTTCTATATTATCATCCCCTCTCCAGCATCCCACAGTAGATAATCAAGAGTTCATTGTAAATCATTGGGGAATAGTGAAAATTATGCTCTCCTTACCATGATGCTGTAAGGGTGAAGTGTGTTCAAAGAGAGGCTCACAGAAGCACAAATGAGGTGTGCCCTTTTGGCTTATGGTACCTCTAAAACATTCAGTGAGGAGAACCATTTGTTTCACCCCAAGGTTAAGAATGTAATGTTTATCTGCTAAGATTGTTTTATTTTTGCAACTCCTGCCTTTAAATAATTTTTATCTACTCTGTAATTTTGTAGACCCAGTTACTGTATCACTTTGCTATCTGAAAAACACTTGAATCTTTTTCATTTCCATCTTTTGTTACTTATAAGGCAGCTGCACTTTATGCTCTTTGCAACTGTTTGAATTATAAGAGAACCATGTGTCACTTACAAAGTTATACCTTTTTTCTTAAACATCTTCGCTATTATAAAAATGGAGACTGTAACAGCTTTATCTCTAGAGTTACTGAACATTGTCACCTTCAGAATGTAAATAGAAGTGCAAGTTAAAACGATGGTTACTTCATTTGGGCGAGGAACTAGCTGCAATAAAACTTGATGATTGTATTTCCATCTTGAAACTTAAAGGTATGTTTCTTAATGACTTGCTCTCAGGCTTCTGTGTCCAGCTTTAACCCTTTTGTGCAAAGGAAATGTGTTTTTCTAGGAATCCACCCAAATATTTGATGTTGCCAGGTCTGTTAGGGGGTGATATTTAACAAGCCAGTGTTCCTTGATTTTCTTCTGTTAATAATGGGGGATAATGGTGTAATAAAGAATAGGAGGCAGGCAGTAGCATGGGAATGGATGAAGATTCTTAGTTTTATGAACTCTTTTAGCTTTTAGTTTTTCAGGGTTCCTCTTTGCAGAAGGACAAGTCCCTTTATTCTAATATACATACCTTTATTCTTTGTTATCAACTTTTTTACTATGCATGCATATCTTTCATTTGCTGCAATCATATCTTCCCTGTAGAATTAGAGATTTGCAAGCACCCAGCACACTGGTAGCATTTAGGCCTCAATGTTCTAGAAAGAAATTGAAGCTACCAGAGTCTTTATTTCACCAGTTAAACCCTGGTGTCTATGGTTTGACAATATTCTTTAAAGTAATTTCTAAAACATACAACGTAGAATCCCATTTTTAAAGAGATTGCTCTCTCCATTGGACATTTCCAGAAGGATAGACATGAAAATGTTACTATTTTAGAGAGTTAAATTTCAAGAAATTTTTGTCTTTTTTCCTACAATAAACATGTATAATTTATTTTTTTAATATTTATTTTTATTTATTTATGCATACAAGAACAGGGGGTATAGGTCAGAGGTGTGGGGAGTGAGGATTCACCAGAGATAGAATGGGAAGCAGAATAGATAGATCTCCTGAGATACACTGCTGAGGGGAACAGCAGGGAGACAGGAAAGGTCTGCTGCACCATGTGGGTCATCTCCCTGGCCAGGGATGATCATGCCACAGTGGTTGGCAGTGGCTTGATGGCGCTAAGACTTTAACCCCTACACCACCAGGGAGATCCATACACATAAATTGTAGAATTTTCTAAAAAGATAATTTATATGAAGGACTTTGCACTGTTCAGATGAGGTATAAACATCTTTCACGCCTTAAAAGGCACCTCCTCTGGAGAACAGTGTCTGCACCCAGGCCTGTGTTGGGTTCCAGACCACAGGGGGGTTGGCTGTCGGCTACAGTCAACACTTTGCCATTCACCTTGGGGTGAATGGGCTGCCCTGTGTAAGAGGGATGGGTGCGGTGTGAGCAGGTCCAAGCACCTCTTGCCCCAGGAAGCTTTCCACCGAGGTGCATCAGCTCAAAACCCAGGCCTCCAGCTCCTGGATGCAGAACTGCTCCTGATGGGCCAGTACCTCATTGTTGAAGGTCGCACAGGGGTGGCTGCCACCGTGGTACAAGTCTCCATCCATCCACAGACCAAACTGGCCACTAGGGAGAAGAGCAAAAGCGTGGCATGTCTCCCTCCTGGGTGATGAGACTTCAGACCTGTGTGCCTGGCCCTTGGCCACATAACACCACAGCTCCTTTCTCCCAGCTTCCTCTTCCCTTTAGCTAATGTATCCTTAGTTGGGGACTGCTGAGTTCGGGGACATCCTGTTCCCTAGACATAGAGCCTTTTTTTTGCAATTCATTATTGATATTAACACATGCATAGTGCGATATGACCATGCTCACTGTCCAGTTTTAGAACCTTTGGAACAGTTTCAGGCTGCAGTGTTTAATCGCAGGCCTAAGTCTCACAGCCATGGACTCTGAGCCCAAAACACTTCCGAGAACACCCATTCTAGTCCTCTCATCCGACAGAAGGCAGGCCAGAGCTGGAAGTGGGTGATTCCAGTCAGTACCAATAGGTTTGCTCTGTGCCAACGTGCCTCTCATGCCTTTCTGCCAATTGGGATAGCAAGGAATTTGCCCGGTACTAATGAAGCAATGCTTTCATCTTTGCCCTCAGGAGAAGATTTGTTCTGCCTGAATTTGCAGGCCACACCAGGGGCCGCCTACCCTTTCTTCCTAACCCACTTCTCCGCCCATCCCCCCACCCACACACAAGTGCAAGTGCACACAGACAAGTAGGCCAGGCTCCTGGGCAGATGCCAGCCTTCTCCAGAGAGCTAATTTTGCTGGGACCATGGGCCTGACAGGTACATTTGGGGCTTGCCCACCTTTTGCCTCCAGCTTCATCCAAACATTTGGGAATGTTGCTCTCAAAGTTACATAAATCCGGACTAATTTGTCATCAACTGTGAGACTTAGGGGGAATTCATGTCATCAATCCCTCTCAGTGTTGATTTAGAACACGGTGGAAGGGGTGGCTGGGGAACTTGGTGCCTAGGGTGTGGGAGGGGACGCTAACTACCAGCCTCCCTATTTTGCCAGACACAGCACCAACCATCGTTTCCAGGCAGAAAAAGGGACCAGACCACAGACCACCCGAGACTCGGGGAGGATGAATACACGCACCTGCTACTACCCATCACCAGCGAGTCCAAGTCTCCTTTCACAAAGAAAGAGTTATTTCCAGTCCATTTAAAGACCTGGGATGATAGAAAAAAGCTCAGGTTACTGGACACGTCTTTCCTTGCTGTTTGATTCTATACCACTAGGTGGCAGTATTGTAGCGGGAACAACATCCAGGCACCCACTAAGTATGCTGGGCACTTAGCTCTGACATTTCTTTCCGTTCTCTTAGAGTAAATACATTTACTTTTGCCCTCCAGTCTGAATTGCCAAATCCTCTCTTCTAGGAATAGACCAGAATCCTCTGAATTAGCAAGGCCAGTAGGACCCACTCCAAAGAGACACTGACTTCCAACATTGTCTCTTCCATTTCAGCTCACTGTTGCCTACCCAGTCCACACCATAGTCACTCCTCACTGGATCCCAGCCTCCCAGCGGTCCTCTTTGTTTCCATTGTCTCCTGCTCACCGTCCAGCTCCGCATTGCAACCTGAGTGATAGTCAAAGTCTAACTGGATAAAACTCCAAAGGTTTCCCATTGCAGTGGGAATAAAATCCAGCTCCTAGCTATAGTCAAAAGTTTACCCAGCTTTGATAGCTGATTTTACCTCTGACCTTTTTCCCCACTATTCTGCCACTTCAGCTACACTGGCTTTCCTGTTCCTGGGACACCCACAGTTCATTCCTGCTGATCCCTCTTTCCCTAGAATGTTCTTCCTTCAGCTCCTCAAACGGCTACTTTTAGTCTTCACAGAGAAATTCCCTGAACCACCACCCTACCCAAAGTAACCCTTCCAGGGCCTCCTTGGTGGCGCAGGGGTTAAGTCTCCTTACTACCACACTATCCCTGGATCGCAGACCTCTCCTATATGACCTGCGGCTCCTCTCAGCAGTGTCTCAGTACATCTGCCTGTTCTGCTCCCTACTCTGTCTCTGGTAAATCCTCTCACCACCACCACCCCATACCTCTGGCCTACACCCCAATTCTTGTGTGCATAAATAATAAATAAATCTTTAAAGTAAGCCTTCCTCCCAGGCCCTGCTTTTTAAGACTGTTCATGTTCAGTGTGTCCATTAACATGGAAATTCTGTGAGGGTTGTCCTGACTCCTGGCGGTATTCCCAGTATTTATGGAATGAATAAATTATTCAAGAGTCAGTGTATATAATAAAAGGATATTTAAAGGGCTGCAAAGGTACAGTATATTATTGCCTATAACTAATTACCAAAAAATGCTATGAACAATCAGAGAATTTTTAGCCAGAAAGTGGATGAATAAAAGATAAGCCCTGGGCTCAGAAGATAATATTAACAAGTAAGCACAAGATAGAACCATTCAACTCCTCCTCTACTTCATCAAGGCAGCTGACCTTCAAACTTGAAGGAGTGAGCTAAGCATTGCTACAGAAGAAATGAAGACCTTGTTCATGGTAAAGCTTGGAATAGCTATCAAGGAACTGCTGGGAGTTCATGAACCCAAGAAATGCCAAAGACAAAGGCAGACAAAACCTTTTTTTTTTTTTTTAAAGATAGGTGTCCCTAACAACAGGCTGAGAAGACAGAGCAATCTCTCAGGAGTGTGAAGCTATCCAAAGCCACAACAGCACTAGTTGGATTCCCCACCCAAGGAGCTGAGCCACATGGTGCAGCAGACCTCTCCTGTCTCACCCGCTGCTCCCCTCAGCAGTGTGTTTCAGTAGACCCACCTGTTGGCTTCCCGCTCTGTCTCAGGTAAATCCTCTCTCTCAGACACACATATACCCTGTACCTCTGGCTTGCACCCCAGCTCTTGTATGCCTAAATACATAAATCTTTTAAAAAATTGTTTTTAATGTTTAACCCCAGACACCAGTTTAGGCACTAAATTAAACAGTGGGTATATAATATGTTAGTTTGTGACATGCTAAAGAGAATAAAGTTGAATAAAGTAGAGAAGGGAAATAAGGGTTTCCAGGGGATTAAGTATTGTAAAGTTAATTCAGATGGTCAGGGAGGATGCCTTCCTAAGTAGTGACACTTGAGCAGAGTCCTGAAGGAAGGGAAGCCAAATTATGTGGACATCACTCTAGCAAAACAGCATATGCAAAGGCCATGAGGTAGCAGAGTGGTGTCTAAAGTAGCATGAAGGAAAGAAAAAGTAACAAGAAACCAATCAGAGAAAGGTCAGAAGGCATAGGAATTTGTAGGTGATTATAAAGACTTCTGTGACATGCTCCGAATTACCTTTAAAAGGATCACTCCACTATGTGATGACTGAAAGACAAGCAAGGAGACCCACTAGGAGGCTCTAACAGTGAACAGGCAAGTAATGGTGGTGACTTGAACCAGGGCAACAGCTAAGGAATGTGAGAAATGGTGGACTAGAGATAGATATAGAGAGGGAAGGCGGAGTCATCCGGATTTGTTGATAGCTCAGATGTAGAACCAAAGAAAAAGGAGTTAGGAAGGATTCCAAAGTTTTCAGTTATCAGCAGCAGGACAGATGGAGATTCCACTAGCTTTGCTGGGGCATTTGGCAGCAGGAGCAGATTTTGTGGGGTTGAGTCAGGAACTCAGTTTTGGACATGTGAAATTTGACATGCCATGTTTAGGATCTAAGTGGTGACCCTGGATTGACCTTGGATATTTGAGTTTTGAGTCCAAGGGAAGGCCCTTAGCACATAGATAGCATGGGTGGGATGGATAAGATCGCAAAGGAAATAAGGGCAGTCAGAGAAGAGATGAGAGGCAAGAGCAGTTTCAGACTCTCTGATGTTAAAAGGTTGAGGAAATGAGGAGGAACTAACAAAGGAGAAAATTCTAGAACTTTAGAATTCTAGTAGGTGAATATAGGAATGCAAGTGGTGATAACTAGACTCTAACCTGGGTTCCCCATGAATAACTAACCACTGACCTGTTTCCTGATAATTAGTCCCCCAGTGGAGACAATGAAATACAGACACACAATTGTCCTTAATTCCTTGTCGTGGACCAGATGGCTGTGCGGCTGCATGTATCTGTAAGTGCCTGGGTCTGTGCATTGCAAAGCACTTGGAACTAGCTCTTAACCCACTGAACAAATATTTCTTGCGGGCTAATGAAGAGGGCAAAGCCCTCCCTTCTCCCTCTCCTACGCAGCTGTTAGGCTCTTAATTGCGCTTCCTCTTCTCTCCAGTTTCTGAGGCCAAGAAAACTGCTCCTTATGTACTTCATCACCAGGTGATGTTCTATTTGTCTACCAAGACCCACCTCAAGAAGTTTCCTGTGATTTTCCCACCTGCACTTCATATAGGTGCTCTTCCCCTGGGCTTCTTCCATAGCATTTATCATTCTGTATCCTCTCTGGGAGCATCTCAAGGCAGTGACTCTGTTGTTTACAGTGCTTTGGCTGAGTTCAAGCTCAAAGACCTTTCCCACATCTCATCCTCACCATTATTCCCTGCAGTTTGCTCATCTTGGCCCCTCGTGGTTTGCTGATTCAATGCTCTAACTGGGGAAAGTCTCAGAACAGCACCTGGCAGCCAGTAAACTGCAGGCCAGCCGCCGTGTCAGTGTTAGTGAAAGTAACATGCTCAGAGTTCTGTCCGGTAAATAGTCCAGAGACAGGAAAAGCTGTGGCTGCTTAGATTATTCTCCCACTCTCCTTCCTTCAAAGGCCCTGGCTCCCTGGTGTCCTGTGATGGTCCCATGCATCTTCTTTCATTTTCCCATTTCCCAGCCACCAGTTACTTGAGCTCTGCCTCACCCTCTTCCCTTCCTGCCAAGGCCTTCAGTGATCTTCACCCTCCACTTGTACCCACCCAATGCCTGCCCTTTAACTCCTTCCTCCCCAGTGGCTTTTCTAACCCCCACCTCCCCACTGTCTCCCATGGTCACGATCAAGGACTTGACCCCCCAGTCTGTTTAAAATGTCCCTCTGGATCCTGTGTTCCAGTGCATGTTCCACAGGTACCACTACTACGTCTCTGACCTCAGATGACCTCTCATGGCTATTCTTTGTGCCTCAGTCCCCATCTGGTTTCCCTCCCCTTCTTGCCCAGTCCATTTACATTTCTACTCCCTTCTCCTTCCCTTATCATCTCTCCAGTAGCTCAGCTAAAGCTGTGACTGCTGAACCCTCACGTTCCCTCTCCCTCTCCACGCCACCCGCCGGACCCAAGGAGCTGAGCAGAGCGTCACCTCCACCACTGCCCAGCTGTCCTGTGCTGGCTTTTCTCTAGCTTCCCCTACTGTTCCGGGGTAACCATTGGACCTGTCACCCCATTAACCTTCACACCCACTCCTCCATCCTCACACAGCTGATGACCCTACTCCACAAGTCCTAAGAAAACAGAAGCCAAGAGACACATCTGTTTTCATCTTCTGACCACCACACCCACACCCATCTCTTTCAGCCTGGGTCTGTGAGCCACACCCCTCTCCCTCTCAGCAAGACAGTGGTTGCTGGGCACCTCAGCATTTTTACAAATAAACTGAGCAGGCCAAGGGGATGCTCTGCTGGCCACCATCCTGCTGCGCCCCCTCAGTAGAAAGAAGGGTCTCTGTCCTGCCCTAGACTCCACTGCCCCCTCCCACCCCAAAGGTTGGTAGTATCACCTTCAGCTCTGGGGAGAAGGAGAAGAGGAATGTCTCGCCAGTACCATAGAAGCCTTTGCTGCATCGGATAGCCGAGGAGGAGAAGGCCCCAAACATCTGGAAAGCAAAAAGAGCTTGTTGCTAGAAGGAAGCTGGGCATTGTCTGGCGATCCCTTTCTCCAGGCTTGGTCACAGAGGCTCATTCTAGAGGGGACACCCAAGGGACCTGGGGCTTGGGGAGGCCGCCTTCAACATGCATCCTTCAGGCTCTTAACCCTCCCCAGGCAAGAGCTCTTACAGCACCCTCCTCCTTTTTCTTAAATGCTTATTTTATATAAGTATTCCTTGTAGAAACAGCTTCACAGTTACAACAAGCAGAAATATCCACTATTCTTCTTAACATGTTAGTACATTTCCTTCCATGCCAGGGTATATGTTCTTACACATCAAGCCCTCATTTAATATCTTCAATAGTCTTAGGAACTGCAACTTGAGGCAAAACAATGTAGAAAAGAACCAAACTCTCCATAGACTAATTGATAGAAACAAGAGCTAAGTTCCCTATGGTGTTCTTCTGGTCTTAAAAACATCATCAGACTTCTAAGTGAAGATTCAAACATGTCATATTAAATGATAACTTGTGTCTACTCATTCATTTTCCAATCTGCTTATTCCAGTTTAGAGTTGTCTGGAGTCTTTCGGGCCCACGGTGGGGCCCTGGACAGGATACCCCTCCATTTTACACGCTCCCCACGCTCAGACAGTTGAGACCCTCCAATAAACCTCAGGTGCACATCTTTGGGGTCTCACACCTCATCTCACATGAGGCCATAGTACCAGGAGAAAGCCTGCAGACATGGAGAGAATGAACAAATTCCAAACAGTGGCCCCTGCAGGAATCGGTTGGTTTTTTCTCAAAGATGTTGAAGGAAATGACATTATATAAGAACCCGCTGAACAAAAACACAACCTCCTCTAGAGCATCTGTTTTGTAAGCTGTTGTCCCCTCATTTTTCTTTATAAAATCCCAAGCACAAAAGCTTAAAACTAAAACTCAGAGGAGCTTCCATGTAGATTTAAGTGTGTAAATGTGTTTGCCACATTTTCTTTCACTCTAGTTTTTCTGAGACACTTGAAAGTAAATTGTAGATAGGGTAATTTTCCCCTCTATAGTTCCCCACCGAAGAATGGGGAATTATTTCTTATGTAACTGCAATGTTGTTATCTCACCTAAGAACACCTCAGCTAAGAATGTCAGAACGTCAACGGCAGCTTCATGTGAGTTGACATCCAGTTTATATTCCATTTCCTCCAGTTGTGTCTAAGAGACAACTGGCTTTAAAAACCAAAACTTGGAGGGTTGGCGGTGTTCCTAGTCCGTGGGGCTCTGCCAGTCACCTGGCCCCTGGCTCCTGGCTTTTCTCTTTTGGGGACACTACCCTCCCACCCTCACCCCGCAAGGCAGCACACCAGTAAGTAGCAAGCACACCTCTTCCTTTGGGGCTCATGGGCGCTGCTCTGAGCAGTGTCACCCTTTACACCAGAAAGCAGGCTGGCTCTGCAGGAGAAAACAGCTAGAAGAGCTTGGAGGAGGGACTAGCAAGGGAGGACATGGGGTGGGAAAACTCTGACTTGGGGCCTCCCTGCTGGGGCAGGGTTAAATAAAGTCTCAGAACTATCAAGCTATTGCCAGCCACTGTCTCACTGGTTCAATCTGACCTGCCTCAGGGAGGGGCACAGTAGAAAGCAGCCTATTAGGGAAAGGGGTCTCAGATGAGTAGGCCTGCCTCAAGGGAGCCAGAGGGGAACTGGAGCACCCTGTCTCCCCACTGAGTTTCACCTCATGGAAAACAGCACTTGAGATAGATAAATCAGACAAAGCTTGCCTTAAGGTAGAGGGAACAAGCTAAAGAAGAGTGAGAAAGGCCAGGAGGCAAGGCTGGGATTGGGAGCCTAAGGGGACCTTTGCAGCGACAGACTGAAGGGGAGAGCTGGATGGAATGTGGAAACTCCAAGGTGGAGGCTCTGGTCCCTGCCAAGGAAGCCAAGTCAAGTGCCCACATGTCTTATCCTTCAGTGAGGAAAGACTGAGGTGGTGTCTTGGCCCCTCTGGTTAACAACAGACATGAGACAGGAACAAGAACTGGGGCCCTTGCTGGTGGTACAAGGGGTTAAAGTGCAGCACTATGAAGCTCTCCACGGCCACTGCAGTGAGTTCAATCCCCTGCCTGGGAACTGACCCATATGCAGCAGCAGACCTCTCCTGTCCTGTCCCCCTACCGGGCTCCCCTTGTAACAGGGGGGGCCCTAGGAAAAGGGGAGGTTCCAGTTTCTCTGTTCCACCCAAAAGGAGGGTGGAGCTGAGTGGAGAGGAGAAGAATCTGAAGAGGAGACTAAGGATGTAGGAAGCAGGATGGAGAGACAGAAGGTGACCTGAGGGAGGCACACAGAGCAGAGACGTGAAGAAACTGCGCTTGCTGCTTCTTGGTCCTGGACTGGATGAAACACATGTGGGTGACAGGCCTGTGGGGAGGTTGACTGTGGCAGTGTTTATTCTGATTTTGATTTTGCTCTTTTCCTCCCAGATTGTCTGGCCATTTCTGACCCTTTCCTATGGCTCCCAGTCAGAAGGTGATTTAGAATTGGGATGGACTTTCAGGCCTTGCTTTGGCCCAATCCCTTTTGGGTAGATTTTTACCCATGAAGGAATGGGTAACTTTAGGTGTTTGATTTAGAAATTATATTATTTATCTTTTCTGTATTGTACACTAATTGTATTAAAGTTCCTTTCCATTAAGGTCTTATGTTTTCGTCTTGATGCAGCAGATGGCAGAACCTTTTTAGAGTGGGCAGATTTGAGGGTCCAGGGCTACCCCTCTCTCCCTGCCCTGTAACACCCTCAGCAGAGTACTTCAATCAAAATCTGCCTGTTCTAGGTGAGAAAATGATGATAATGATGAACAGCTATATACCAGAGACATTTTATGGGAGTGGAGTGGGGAATGGGATCAAAAACAGGTGGGGGGAGGGAAGTGCACTAGACTATGGTGATGGCACATGGGTGATTTGGTGATGGGAAGCCCATGGGGATTACAACTGAGATGGAAAAATGCACAAAATGTTGTAAAAATAAACTATTATAATAAAAAAAAAAATCTGCCTGTTCCGCTTCCTGCTCTGTCTCCTGTGCACTCATGTGTCACTGGTGACATGAAGGAGGACTGTGAGACTCACTCGCTGTCAGTGCCTGACACTTGAAGCCAAGGCATTTCCTGCCCAAGCTTAATGCTGTTACCAACAAAGGACTAAGCCAGTTTATAACTTAACAAAGCTTTAATTTTGGGGGTAGAAACTGATTAAGGAGCAAACATCTTTTATTGGAATGTGTAGATAGGCAGATCATCTTATCTTAGAGGTGTTAATTCTTGAAACTGGCACAGGGACCCATCTGTCTTGGATTATGAAATTACAAATATTAGCTTGTCCCTCAGGGCCAATGGCTGAGGTATTGCTATTGGAGGTATAGGAAGCATAGGAGGCCAGAAGGGAAGAAAAGACAAGGGCCTGTGCTCTGAGGGTGGAGAACTCCTGGAACCTTTCTGGTTTCTTGTTTTTAGCATAGAGGAACTGGGGTGTAGGCCAGACATGGAGGATTGAGAGAATTCACCAGAAAACAGTGTGGAGCAAAACAGGAAGATTGACTGAAGTACACTGCTGAGAGGAGCAGTGGGCAAGACAGGGGAGGTCTGCTGTGCTATGTGGGTCAGCTCCCTGGCTGGCTGGGGATGGAACTGAGGCCATAGCAGTGATAGGGCTGACTTAACCCCCAGGCTACCAGGGAGGCCCCGCCTCTCTGATTTTTAAACTTTGAAACCATGGGTGACAGGGTTCAGTCACTGATAGCACACGTTCTATGGAATCATTTCAGAGTTTAATGATTTGGTAGAAAATTGAGCTTTTATCCTGGAGTAAATAGAGGCTCACTTTAAAATACAGAACCAAAAAATTAATTCATTAATTAAATAGAATACAGAACAAGGGGTCAGGTGCTGACCCACATGGCACAGCAGACCTCCTCTCTCTCCCACTGTTCCCCTTAGCAGAGTATTTCAGTGAATCCACCTGTTCTACTCCCCACACTGCCTCACCCCCTGCACCTCTGGTCTATAACTTAGTTCTTGTACACAAAAATATGTTTTTTAATGAACAATAATTAAAATAATATACAGAACAAAATAAAAAATAATTAATACTAAGAATTAATACCCCAAATGCTGTCTCGAATCATGACAGCCATCATTTTTTGTGATTATCTAGACCTGCATCTAGAACTCTACTGTAAGACCTATTTTAGACACATGTTAGACTTTTGTGACAACTGTTTAAATGTAAACCTTATATCACACACTGTTAGTTTTTATCCACTGTTAGTTTTTGTCCTAATAAGACTAAAGCTTTATAATTCTTGAGAACAAAAGCCATTTGGACTATCTCTGGTTCATAGATATCATTTTTCTTGCCTGCCCAATATTTCACTCTTGAGACCAAAGCTGTGTGGTCTTGAGACCAAAGCTCTGGTGGGAGGGTTAGGTGGAATGCACTGGATGGCAGTGCAAGACCACTGGACAGAGAGGGTTTCATATGAGTGGAAAGAGCATTGTTTTGCCAAGGAAGAAGCTCCATCCAGGGGGAGTTAGCACCCTGGTTTTGTGGCAAGAAGTCCTATCATCATTTTAAGAGAGGTGCTCCCAAGCAAGTGGGGTCCCTTGAAGGCTCTCCATCTCTAACAAGTTCCTTCCACAGAAGGGCAGTTCTAAACAGCTTCTCCTTCTTCCCCACCTCTAATGCAAGAACCCTCCTATTGCAGAAGCCAAAGTCGGTGTCCTTAAACGTCCCTCTTATAAAATGTAGGCAGCTACTATCAATGCCTTCTGCAATCCATTCTTTTCCTACCAGCAGGGAATGTTTTAAAACCTCTGTGTTCTCTTTCCTGAAGCTGCCCAGTGGTACCTAGAGGGGAACCCCCGTGACCTCAGGCGGAGGCTCCAGCCGAGCTCACCTGCCCATCCTGGTCCCTCAGCACCAGCAGGACTGGCCCTTCATGGCCCTCCATCTGCCTGTACAGGTTCCGTAAACTGAAGCCATCCCTCGATGTGCAAAAGACCAGACTCCAGGAATGGCCAGTGAGTCTCCGGGGGAGGTGGAGGCTGAGCTGGGGACAGGACAGGAGGTGAGTGAGGGATCTATAGTTGAAAACTATATCCTGGGAGCCCCAGCAGGGATGGGCTACATAGCCACCACTCACACAGGCACGGAGCTCTACAGTTAGAGTAGTTTACTATTTCTTAGGGGGTTTCATGCCCATTAGCAGCCGCCCCTGCACAGAAGGATTATTATTCCCATTTTACAGATGAGGAAACTGAGGCTCAAGTTGAGATGAAGCAAGTTGCCTGAAGTCCACATGGGTAGTAAATAGCAGAGTCAAGTTTGGAACCCAGGTAAAATCCCCTTAACAAATAGAGAATAAATGAAATGCCAAATCTTTCCTCCTCATCTCCCTTCCTTACCTCCCATCCCCGCCACCACCTTTGGCTTCAGTCCCAAGGGTTGAAACTAATTTTATTTTATTCTTAACCTCCTGGCCCAGTGAAGAGCATGATGTTAGTACTGCCTGGTCATTTATAAGAAAGCAAATTGATATCCAACGTGACACTGAGCTGGGGCAGAGCAGGAGTGACCCCGGGTGTCCCTGGACCTGGCTGGGGTGGACAGGAGAGGGGGGGCCGTTTGACTTGGGCTGGAATCCTTGTGCTTTGGATCATGCCCGCACCTGCCTGATCTCTGAAGTTCCCAAAACCTGGCTGGCATCTGTCAGCTGGGGCTCCACCAGGTCTTCAGGGGCAGGGGCTGAGGCTGGAGCGCGCCCTGCCTCCTCCTCCACCTCACCCTCCTCCACAGACACAGTGTCTTCTACCTCACTGGGCTGTGAAGACACAAAGAATCAAAAGAAAGGACACCAGTTTCCCCACTTCCTAAGCAGGAGAGCCTCCCAGCTTCACGGTGTCTTCCCAGGCCCTCCACAACAGACACTGTCCCTGCCCCCAGCCTGCTGCTTCCGTGGCCTCTTACCAGCAGAGTATAGCGCCAGCCACCTTTCATTCTCTTGTTGGACTCCAAGTTGTGAGTTCTCAGCCCTGCTGAGGGAGGAAACACCACTGTGTGAGGCCTGGAGATGACAGGGAGGGCCCTGGGGCACACCCAGCTGACTCCACAGCCACCCAGTTGCCCTTTGCTCCCTTTCCCCTATCCGCAGGCCAAGCTGTCACCAGGTAAGCCTGTAAAGTCAGCCACTATCAAGACTTCACTTGTAGTTGGCATGATACATGTGAGCATGGTAGGCGTGCAGTGATTCTAGTTCTCATTTCTGTGCACTGCCTCGCCTTTCAGGCAACTTGGCCTAATGACGATGGCAACTTGGCCTAATGACGATGGCCCTAGGGACAGGTGCAGGTGTCTGGGCCTCTGGTTCTCCACATGATATTGGATCAACCACTTTGCACCCCTGGGCTTCTGTTTCCCCACAGTAACAAATTGGACCAGATCGTTTCAGAACCTCCTTAGCACTGAGATCTTCTCAAAGCCTGTGAGTGCATCATAACAGAAGCTGGAAAGACATTAAGCTGGAACCAAAAGAAGAGATCATTTAAAAAAAAAATACAAAGTTTCATTTTTGTAATTAAGAAATACATTTTTATTGTAGAAAATTTGAGAAAAAGTTTCATTTTTGTAATTAAGAAATACATTTTTATTGTAGAAAATTTGAGAAATCTGGAAAAGTGTAAGGATACAAAAATATTCATAATTTCATCTTTCAGAGTTAAACTCTCACTGCCTGAGGGTATATTTTTCACTCTTTGGATTTACTTCATACACATGTGTATGCACACATTTATAAATAGCTCATACCATGTATAAAGTCTATAAAGAGATTTTGCCAACTTAATGAGTGAGAATTTTCCAGGGACATCCTGTACTCTTTGAGCATGTGGTTTTCAATGTCTGCAAATTATTTCATCATCGGAAGTATATCACTTATTCCTCTACTGATGGATATTTTGTTTGCTTCTCTTTTTCTGTGATTAGAGGCAAAGATAAAGTGAATTTCCTTGTTCAAAACTCTGATTATTTTCTTTATGATAAATCTCAAAAGTTGAACGTTGGATCAAAGGGCATGCATATAGTTCTTTTTTTTTTTTTTAAGGATCTGTTTATTTATGCACACAAGAGCTGGGGTGTAGGCCAGAGGTAGAGGGAGACGGGGATGGGGGGTGAGAGGGTTCACCAGAGACAGAGTGGGGAGCAGAACATTCAGATCCACTGAAATATACTGCTGAGCGGAACAGCAGGTGAGACAGGAAATGTCTGTGAGGTCTGCTGTGCCATGCAGGTCAGCTCCCTGGAGGGGGCAGGAGGGTGGTGGTAGGGAAGTGTCAAACTGCTGCAGTGGCTGTGGACAGTTTCATAATGCTGAGACTTAACCCCTTGCACCACCAGGGAGGTCCTTCATAGTTCTTGATAAATGTTTCCAAGGCTTCCCAGTTGCTTAAAGCTCACCTTCAGAGAGAGTTAGCAGAATATCTTTCTAATCCTCAAGTCTTATACCCTCAAACCACAGATAAGGGGCCTCCCTGGTTAAAAGTCTCAGTACTCAGCAGCTTTGTGCTGCTCCCCTCAGTAGGAGTTTCAGTCTGTCTGCCTGTTCTGCTTCCCACTCTGTCTCTGGTGAGTCCTCTCACGCCCTCACCCCGTGACTCTGTCTTACACCCCAGCTCTTGTATGCATAAATACATAAAAATAAATAAATAAATAAATAACCACCATCGAAAGGGAAACTGCTCCTCAGAGAGGGAGGGACTCAGCCCAGGGCAGCCACAGTAGTTAAGGGCAAGATTCTGGAATCAGAGAGTCCCAGCCCTGCTTTTGCTGCTTACTTGCTATGTGATGTTGGTTAAGTTACTTAACATCTCTGGGCTTCAATTTCTTCATCTGTAAAATACTAATATCTATCTCCTAGGGCTATTATAGGAGAAATGAAAATGTCTCAAGAATTAGGATGTCACTCCAGGCTATCTGCAATTTGCTGAGATAACCCCCAGTGCCTGCGGTTTGACTGCGGGATAAATGCCAGTGCTACTTTCTATCTGCCTGACACTGTTTCTGTGAGAGATCCAGGGCTGAACTCTCTGACAAGTGGCCACTCAGTCACCTCCACCTGTCACCTCTGGAACAGTGACTTGGTCACATGCAAGGGTGAGTAGCTCAGCAGGGGAGGGAAAGGCAGGAACCATGGAGGTGTACTCACCCTGCTATGCCCTGGTATCTCAGACCTCCAGTCCGGTCAGCCAGTTGACTTCCTTGTGCGTCTCCCTGACCCCCTAAGGGGGGGCTGCATCCAGAACTGATCTTGTCCAATTAGTGGTCTGTTCGCAGAAGCTGTAGCTCCACACCCGGGTCCCCTGGCAGGTGCTGGCACGTCTACCACGATCAGTTCCACGCTCTCCTCTCTGGCTCTTATACTTGCCCAGAGGGTGACAGGCCCTGGCTCTGGGCCCGTACTGGTTCCAGCTGGGAAGGCCTGGAGGTGATTATTATCCATCAGAAACTCAAACCCCACAAATATACACAAACATGACCCTGTCACCCCACTGGCCCCTGCTCTGCCCTCACAGACCAAAGAGCTAGAGAATACAGAACTTGGAGCTATCTAACCTGGAGTCTCATTGTGACCACCTAGTGAAGACTATTGAAGACTCTTCCCTCCGGGACACAACAGCTACAGCATGGGTAAAGCTATGAGCTCTGTAGAGACAGGTCAGGGCTGGGAGGCCGGGAGAAGCAGCCCTGCGGGCCTGCTGACTTCCCCTTCCTCAGATGGGGTGCTGATCCGATTTTTTCCTCATTGACATGTCATGACATTAGTTGAGGTTACACACAGAAAGCCCAGTGTTTAGTACACATCAGCACCCCATCTGTGGGGATTACTTTTCTGTCCCTGACCCATAGGGGCTTCAACCTGTCCCACAGCAAGCCACCTCCACCCAGGGCAGGATGCCCAGGAAAATATGCACACTGAATAAGCAGTCAGTATGTTGTGGGGCTATTTGCTCCACTGACATAACTGGGAAATACCCACTCTTGCTGGCACTGGTGGAGAGGACTTCAGTCCCTAGTTACCCTAGGGCTCCTGGGCATATCCTGTTCTGGAAGCATGGGATGCCAAAAGGACTTATATTATATTATGGGACAACAGGCAAGTGAGGGGCGCTGTTGCCATCTCAAACATGGCTGTTGCAATATGTGTTGAAACTGTAAACAGCTCAGGGCTCACACATCTCCCCTCTCTGCTCTCCTGCCCCATTCCCAACCTATGTCTTTCACACTCAACCCTGACCTGTTGGGGCACAATGAGATTTGCCTTGCTATCTCATTCTTTATCTTCATGTCCAGGAAAACTTGCAATGTGACTTGGCAGGAAAGTCAGTTGCCATATAAGAGGACCCTAAAAAATGCCCGTGATGGGCTTGCAGGTGCTGGAGGTCCAGGTGTCTCAGCCCTGCCTTTCTCTTTTCCTTATCAGAGCACACACTGCCTTTGGCACTGAAATAGCTATTACCTGGAACCAATTTGAATGTCCAACAGAATGCAAAAAGTTAAATGGCCCATGGTTTATTTGCAAGTGTAAAGTGATGTTTCCTCATAAGTGAAAAAGTAGGACATAATACTGTATTTGCAGTACAGTTTTAGCTATGTAAAATAAGCATAAAAATACTAAAAGAAATAACTAGAATTCCTTCTGGAAGATACCGGTGTTTGCTGGACAGTCTGACTTCACTTTGAGTCAGTCTGATGGGCTCACACCCACTCACAGATCCTGAGAAATCTGATTTCCATTCTGAGAAGACTTTTCTATAAGTCTTTAAACCTTCACCCCTTCAATCCCAGCTGGCAACATTAGTCTTCCTTGAGAAAACAGAAGCCATCATCAACAGAAGCCATCATCGGCCTTCCCTCCCTTTCCCTGCAGACCCTCTTAGCCTCACCTACCTCTTCTGCCTTCCCTCCAGGGCCATGGTGGAAGGGTCCCTATTCCTTTTGGAAGCCAGGGCCCCATTCGAGGTCTGTTTGTCTAGCTTCTATTTTTCTGTCCTTTGTCTCACATCTTTTGCTGACTGCTCCCTGCTAAAATAACAGTCCCCTTCTTGGCTCCTCCATTCTGTCCTCCCAACACTGTCTCTACCTCCTGTCCACTCTCTGCCTTCCTTCAGCTTCTGTCCCCATCACCTGCTCCTGTCAAGGTTCCCAGCAGCCTCTGCGGTACCCTGAGAAGGGCACTTTCTGCTCCCACCTGCCTCTAGCTTCTCCACTGCTGGTCAGTGAGATGGCTCTGTCCTCCTTTACTTACTCTGTTGCTCTGCCTTGACTCCCACAACACATTGCCCATTGTCTGGGCTCCTTCCTACCTCCCTGACTGTGCCTTCTATGATGTTGTGGTTTTTTTTTTTTTCATTGTTGTTTGTTCGTGGGTTTTTGTTTGTTTGTATTTGGGTTGGTTTCTCTTCTACTCAGTTTTTAGAACCAGAATTTCTTAACTTCCTAGCTCTAGGTCAGATTTTTTTCTCTCTAGAGGCCCTCTCCCTGTGGGACCTCACCTGCATCCATGGATTCAAGTATTGTCTAAATGCTAATGACTCTCATGGCTGCAGACCAGCGGTTGTTTCCGGCTTCCAAGCACCTGCCAGTTCCTTAGATGGGTTTTTCACTTGGATGCTCCATAATCATCTCAAACCCAGAAAGAAGTCTTCATTTCCCCTTCAAATCTGGTCTCTCTATTCTTTGACCACCTCCTCATTTGTCTTTCCTGTCTGCTTAAATGGCATTCTCATTCACTCTGCATCTAAAGCTAGAAACCTGAAAGTTGAACTCCTTAATTTCTCAGAATGCTTACTTCCGGCCAAGGGTAACTTACTCTTCAAAGCTCCAGAACAGATCTCAAGACTACTCTCCCTTTCCTCCACTGCCTCCACCCTTACCCACTGTTCAATAGTCCCTTAGTCGACCTACTAACATCCCTTCTTGCCAGGAGCTGGAGCGACCTATTTAAATCATAAATTAGAGTGTTTCATGGATCTGCTGACATTCTCCAATCACTGGGTCAAAAATAAAGACCTTGCCCTGGATAGGCCTTGGCTCCTGCTGTCTACTCCCTCTTTATCTTACCCTGTTTCATCCAAGTTCCAATCACATTGAGCTCACTTTTTTGAGACTATCAGGCCTTTGCTTTTTCTGTTCTGCTCTGCTTGGAGTTCTCTTACTCTGTTCTTGATAACTTAGTTTGTCACGTCTTTGGAGAAGCCTCCCTAAATAAAGCAGGTACCCTAGCGATTCCTCTAATTCTCTCTCAACCAGTAGCTTTGTTTCTTTCATGATTTGTATAATGAAAAAAAAATCATGAAAAAAATTACCTCTTATTGAAGCTTTCTAGTATTTTATTATCTCCATCATGTTGGTGACTTTAGCACCTAGAACAGAAGAAAGCAAACTCTTTCCACTGGGAAATCAGCATCTTCATTGCTTATACTCCATTATATAATTCTTACAATCATCAAATGCTTCATTGATTTTGAGTGGAGCTTTATACAGCACATGCTGTGTCCCTGGGCTGGCCACAGTCCAATCAAGTGGCACAACAGGTTCTGGAGTGGGGTGGCCCTGGGTTCAAATCAGTCCCAGTCCTGCCACAGCTGTATGACCTTGGACTTGCATTCCTGGTATTCATCGCTGTGTAACAAACTGCTCCCAAACGTAGTGGCTTAAAACAACAATATTTATTTTGTAGTCAGGCAGGATCAGTGGGACAACTAATTTCTGCTCCACTTGGCATCATCTGGGGTGGTTCCAAGGCTGGGGGCTGAACCACCTGAAATCTCATTCTCTCACATATCTAGTGGTTTAATGGGGACCAGGTCTGGAGTTGTTGGCCAGATCACTTCACATGGCCTGTCCATAAGACCTGGACTTCCTCCCTGTGGGGTGGCTGGGTTCCAAAGGCTAGAAGAGAGGGAGAGGGAGGGAGAGAGAGAGAGGGAGAGCTCGAGCTCTCACTGGGCAGCCATATTGCATTTCATGACCCAGCCTTGGAAGTGACAGTGTCACCTCCCCCATACTCCTTGGTTGAGACAGTCACAAAGATCTGTTCAGGTTCAAGGGAAGGACTCATAGACCCTGTAACTCAATTGGAAAAGTGTCAGTGCCACATTGTAAAAAGAGGAGTTGGGATGACATAGACATTGCTGTGCCCACCTTTGGGGAAAAAAGTCATAAGAAGTTCCTTACCTTTCTGAGATTGGCCGCTGCATTTTAGCACAGAGCCTTGCGTATGTGAAGATCCACAGGTCAAGAAGAGCTCAGCTTGCTTTACTGGCTGCCAACAACGGGCTCCTGCAAGCAGCCAATTGTGAACTCTCAGCAAGCCTCACTACTTTTGTGGTTTGCCTGGTCTGAACTGAGTCCAGAGCACTTATCTCAGTCCTTTCCACCCCTAAGTTCCTCCCCCATGAGGGCCTTCCTTTCTCTGGGACTCTCCAGGGGCTGCAATGTAGAAGAGGGCTCCCCCAGTACAAACACCCTCAGAATAGGAAGGACCCTCAGCCCTTTGCTCAGCCATGACTGTTGAGGCCCATTGAGGATATGTGGTTGAGCTGGAACTTGGGCCCGTTTCAGATGGGGAGATACAGGCCACTCCAATCTCAGGACCCCTGGTGTGGCTATGGGTATGTGAGGCGTGGCTGAGCCAGCCTGGCCTGGGCATGCCTCCTGCAGGGATACACACCATCTAATTTCTCTAAAGCCATATTCTGCATAGGAGAAGAACTGAAGCACAGAGAGGATAAACAGTGTCTAAGAGCTATCCAGTATCTCTCTGTGCCAGACCAGAATCAGCCTACAGGAAACAGGGATCTCAGGCGGCAGTCCCTCATCTGTTCCATCAGACCAGACCAGGTGGGGCATCTGAGGCCCAGGAGGTGGGAAGCTCTTTCCTGGGTCACTGTTCAGCACCCCTGCCCCTGAGTCATGCCTTGCCACACTGCTTATGATGAATCTTTTGTGGCCCGTCTCCCCTCTTTGCTGTGTGCTCCATGAACAGGAATCCACCCCTGACAGGTCAACCACTGTGCTCCTCAGTGTCCTAACCATGTACTGGGTGAATAGACAGTCTCTGGGGACATGAGAGCTGATGTATTCCAGAAAGGTTTGGGAATACTCCTGAAGCTGTTGAGCGGCCCTGCTCTTATCTCACTGGGGGGGGGGGCTGTGGGGGGACAAAGAAGGAGGGGGGGAAGCCAGAGGAAGCATCTGAGGGTGGAGGGGCAGGGCGGTCACACACCTAGATACATCTAGATGGGGATGAAAGTGTAAAGTGTATACCCCAGGAGTGCACCCACACCTGTGGGGGAAGGTGAAACAGAAAGAAAGAAGTGGACCTGGTACCAACTGCATAGTAAGGGCAGGAGGAAGTGAAAGAACAGGGCTGGGGGAGGAGGAGGAAGGAGAAGGAAAGGGAGAAAACGGGAAAAGGCAGGAAAAGAGGAGTGGAAGCGAAGGAAAGGAGGAGGAAATGAAAGAAGGAGGAAGAGGCCATGGGTGGGTGGGGTGGTAAATACAGCCCTGTCCACCCCCAAGGGGCTAGGGGTGCTACCTTGAGGGTGAATGTGTGCCAGCTAGGGTCAGGAACAACTTGATCTGACCCTGCCCTGCGAAGGTTTAGTTAGATAGAGGAGTGGGAACATGTAGGGGACCGAGAAGGGGGAGGGGAAGGTGTGATTGCATGTGCAAACCAATAACACCTCCGCCCGGCCGGCCAGCATCCCGGCAGGGATCCCGACCCGCCGGCAGGCTGGGAGTTAGCTCTGGAAGTAAAGAAACTTCCTCTACCAGAGCTGGGGCTCTAGAGAGAGAACGTGTGGGGATCAGGGTAACAATCTCCAGCCTGCGCCAGTCTCCACTGGTGCCAGAACCTACCCGAAAGCACCTCAAAATGGGCCAAATCCATTTTACTGTGCAGAGTCTGAAAACTGGGGCTCGAGTGGAAGAGGGAGTATGCCTGGGATCAAGGTGTGCAGAACCGGGTATGCACCCGGGACTCCGCGGTTCGTAATCAGTGAGAGGGAAGCTGAGACAGAAGAGCCGGAGCACACCCTGGAGTCCATCCAGGCCCTGCGGTCGACCTTGGCTGAATCGTCTTCCCCACGCCACAGTTTACACTTCTGTACAATGGGATAGTTGCTTTGGCTTTGTAAGGTAGAGGGGGGCGGAGTTCGCGCAGGCTCATCACAGCCGCGAAGAGCGTGGTGGTACCCGGTGTGTATATGGATGCAGACTCTTGCGATCTGAGGTCCGCCGGGCCTCCGCCTGGAAGTCCCACGTCGCGCCGCTCACGGGACCCCTGCCTGGATGCTGGAAGAAGGGGTGCCACCGCCGGGTGCATTTTCCAGGCCGGCAGGGAAGGGGGCGGCGGCGGGGCCGAAGAGGAGGGAGCCCAGGCCGCGGCAGCCCGGGCCCGCCTGACCCTCGAGGGGGTCGCTGTTGCCTCGCAGATCCCTCCCTCGTTCGCTGCCTGTGTCCCTCCCTGCCGCTCCCGCCGCGTCCGCCTTTTGTTCGCCGAGCCGCGCGCCCCCGAGCCGAGGCGGCGGGGCGGGGAGCTGGCGGGGC